ATGATGGTGATGAAGAAGAGGAGGAAAGGAGGGGTGCACCTTGGAACTTTAGTAGTGAGAAGAATGAAGAGAAAGAGAAGACATCTGAGAGACAAAGGGGGAGAGAGGGAGAAGAGGAGAGGGTAATGTTGGAGTTAAGCAGCTGTGGAAAAAATGGTAAACACAGAGATTTTAATGGCCGAGACCGCTGTGTGGAAAGTAGCAGCCGGGGGATGGATGACACGGCAAAGGATGTTGCTGTAGAAAGGGTTGAAAATGGTAATAAGATCATTTTTGTTTTTTTCTGTTTTTATTTCAAGTTGTATAACATGAACTTTTAAGCTTAACATATTTCCATCTCTGTTTTTATTGCGTCTTTATTTCCTTCCATCTTCTCATGTTTTCCTGTCCTGTAAATAAAGTGAAGACTACTGGAAAAAGAGATGAGACTCTACTGCAACCCAGCAGGATCAATTCAGAGCCGCCTTCTGTCCCAGTCTCTTTCAGGATCAGCTGCAAGTGTACTGGATCTCTGTCCCGATACTTCAGCCCACAGGTAGTGGAAGTTAAAATGCGCACGGCAAAGCAACGTAAAAGTATAGGTTAGGAATTAAGAAAAGACAAAACACAAGTCGTTTGATCTTCTTCTGATAATCTTGGTAATGCTACACATTATTAGACTTTATGCAAAAATACATCCATCTCATCAATTTGTGGACACTGTATCTCTTTATTGTTATTGTTTTTTATATTGTGTGTTTGCATGTTGTATCTGATATAGGAGGTGAGCAAAGTGATTGGAGTAGGTCTGAGCAGACTGCTGGGCTGGAAGGCCGACCTCAAGAATCCACAGCTGGAAGTAAATCTTTTTACTGTGTTAAATATGTTGATTTACTCCCAGACAGTTTCATCTTTATGGGCATGACTGCTCATATCATAAGTAAATACTCCCACCTTGGATAATGATGTTGCCTGTCCTTTCAAATTGAACATCATTATTTATTTGCTCTTTTCTGCAGGTAAATGTTTATTTGAGTGATGATCACTGCCTGCTGGGGATTCCACTAACCAGGTTACTGACAGAGACACTTTCTCTGCATTTAACACTTATTAATAATGACTTTATACTTTATACTATCTCCTTGAAGGGTCCACCAAAAGCCCTTAAAGGAGCTGACTTTGAACAGAACTGTTTTAATGTGTTTTCTTTGTGGAGGAGATTTGAAGATTAGCTTTGTGATATTTGTTTCTTATAGCGCTGTGGCTACTAGCCTCAATGGGTGGCAGGAATGAAGAGTCAGTGCTGCTGTATGAACCTCAAATAGTCCCAAAGATGACTTAACTAAAGTTAGCTTTAGTCAACTTCATAAACAGTAAGTTATTGGTCTCCTGTCTGTTTCCTTCAGGTTACCTCTGGCTAACCGCAGCTACATTAAAACCACAGGACTGAGGTCTACTGTAGCCTGGGCTTTGGCCTCATTGGCTCAGATACAGGTATGAACAAACACAGGTGCTGGCTGGTGGCTGCTGTAATCTTTATCTTATGCGGAAACTACTTTATTACATGTACTCTTTTGTTTATGTATGCAAATCAGAAGGCAAGCAAGGTGCTTTGTTTTGTATTTGTTTTATAGAGGCGTTCTGCCATTTAGAGTGTATGTTTATTTCACCAGTCCCCTAAAAAAACCTAAGGCAGGTTTAGACTTGCTAATTTAAAGCTGTCCTCCTTTTAAAACTTTCAGCATGTTTGTTGTCTGTGCTAAAGCATTTGAATGCACTCCGGTCAGTCTGTGATGTTAATATTGCCCTTCAGTGACCGCATGTGGTTGACCAACTGTATGTACTGTATGTTATCTCCTGTTTCCCAGCCAGGCTTCTGTGTGGTTGACCCAATGTGTGGGGTGGGAACCATCTTAATAGAGGCAGCACAGGAACACAAGGTCAGGACAGAAAGAGTCTGAAAGAAGTCTGAGAAGCAAACTTTTGCAAAGTTTTGGGAATTGGACAAAACATTTGGTTCGGTCCTGGTACACATGAATACACATTTTACACACCTTCATATTAATGTAAAGAATATTGTTCAGGTATGCACTAGTACAGTCGTGTTGTAATACATTCTAGTCACATTTAATGCATTTTTAATTTGATTTCATTAGTTTTGTTCATAATTATATAATATATAATAATAGTATATACTGTAGTGCAATTGGAACACTATAATCTTATATATCACTCTCTGTGGGGTCTTCAGGCTGCCTGTTTCCTGGGTATGGACATTAATGATGGACAACTGCAAAAGGCCAATGAGAATGTAGAGTTTGCAGAGCTGGGAAACAGGATACACCTGCTGAAAGCTTCATCTATGGGTAGGAAACATGCACAAAATCATTACTGGAATAATGTTAAATATATGTCATTAAACCTTTTACATTTTAGGCATTAAGCTAACAACAGTGGGCGCCTCAGTAAAATTCATTTCTGGGTTGTGTTGTAAAGTTGCACTATAGTAAATGGTCAAAAGGTCAAAGGCCAGTGTTTTAAAAATAGATTGCTGTGTCATTTACAGATATTTTGATAAATGTACACTTTTGAAAGATGAAATACAGTCGCTTAGAAAAATGTGTCATTACTGTCATGGAGAAAGTAATCATGATTCTCAGGTGCCTACTACTGAATTAATATCAAGGTTTTAGAAATGTAACCTTTATTTAGTTCACTGGGGATCCAACGCTGCATGTCTTGGATGGGAATCAGTGAGTGGGAGGTGAGTGTGGAGCCTGCCGTCATGTATTAAATTACCTCTTGGCTCGTCTGTCCCTCTCTGTGTGTGCAGTGCTGCCTCTGCCCAGCGCCAGTGTAGATGCTGTAGTCTGTGACCTGCCATTTGGCAGGAAGTTTGGCACCAAAACAAACATGGCTGCCAACCTGCCACTCATTCTCACTGAGATGGAGAGGTTTGTTCCTCTGTGTTCCTTTCCATTGTTACTTTGAGAATTGTTCGGTGAAAATGTTTCTAGTGTTTCTCTTTGTGTTATTTTGTGGGTGTTCATGTAGCATGCAGAGTTCTGAGCCTTTGAGACAAGTTGCACATCAGAATAGATCATAAACTGTATAAAATGTGGATATTATATTTTGTCCTGTTATTTTGAAAGTGAAACTCCTTTTAATCTTTTTTTAAATTTCAGCGCAGAACTGTAATTAATTTAAATGTGTGTCTAGGGTCCTCTGTATTGGTGGCACCCTGGTTCTCCTTCTGAGTCCTCAGTTATCCTGTCTGCTGAAAAAACTCCTGGCACAGAAAGACTCTGGACCAGCGTCTAACCTGGAAACAAAGCCTCAAACTGGGACACAAGACTGCCCCTCTCCTTCTCCATCTTCCACAAAGCAGCAGACATTCCAGATCAACCAGGGAGTCGATTCCCCACCTACCCAGAAAACAGACCCTCAGTCTGGGCTCCAACGCAGTCTGCCTCCTCTTCTCTCCTCCCTGAAGCACCAGAGAACTCTTAGAGTCAGCCTAGGTTTGATAGATGGACTTATGCATAAATATGTAAAGATGGACACTTAATCCGTGTTGGTGGAAGTTACATTTCAAAGTAATTAGCTACTTTTATTGGTTACTTGTAATGTTGAAATGCCACACTTAAATAAAACAACTTTTTTTCTTTATCTGTTTGCTTCTCTGCTGTTTTTAATTGCACACAATATATATTTATTATAATTCTGAGTTGTGTGCACTTTGAAAGTCATGTGAACTGTGGATTGTAAATGTTGCCATTCCAGGGTTAAATCCTTTATCCATCTTCTTATCCTACATTTACTTTACATTGAAACTACTTAACTGTAATTTAAAGAACCTGACTTGTGGTGTTGGTCTCATATTGGGCTTTTAAATAATTAGCCTGGACTTATTCTTATGGAGTTATGTTCTTCATAGTTCTCAAAACTGTGCAAACTCCCTACCATGACTGAAGATGTAAATCTTTTAAAACGGCTGACAAATATATAGTTTCAGTAAATGGGCTTAGCTTGGCACTGTAGTTTTAAGTAAATGTTACTCAAACAGGAGAAAATAGTGTGTTTTCAGCTTCTAATATATGTTTGGCGCTCTTGACAGTCTATGTGAGACTCAAAATAAACTACAGTTCCCATGTTCTTGCTAAAGAAGGAATATGTCCCCCAGTTCAACTGTGTGGCTCTTAGACCTTTTTCACAGCAGCCAGATACTAATTACATTTCTGTTGCATTCAGGTCAAACACAGTCAGGGTGCTGCTATTGTACATGTTGGCTCACTGAAAAGGCTCTGCTACAATACACTGAACAGAACCTTAATTACTCGCATTGGTAGCACCTGTGTTTAACCTACTATCTCATGTCAAACGGACTGCTGTGAAAAAGGTCTGTGGCACAGATGAATAAGCTCTATCGGGACTTTGCCTAACAGACGATACTTAGTGAATGAATGGCTGGATGAATGACACTAAGAAACATGTGGAATGAAACTAACCTTATCCTATGAGTGGACTGAGATGTAAACTATAAAGTTGTCTGTAATGGGACTTTTGTTCCGCCTGGAACACATAGACCCCATAGGCTGAATCACAATGTTGCCATCTGCCACAGTTTAGCCCTGCTTAGCCCAGTTTTACTCTGAGAGGCCAGACAAGGCCACACAGGGCTTAGTTTTTTAATTCATTTCCCGTTAGATATAAACTTCCTGTGTTTTTGCTGCCTTTGCAGATTTGAAAAATGGCTTCATCTCCAGCGTATGGATCCAATAGTGCTGGAAGTCAAATCAGTATGGCTTCAGATGAGGTGTACAGTGCTTTTCTTTGGCCTATATTAAATTGTACCTGCACAAACATTAATCATGTGACTAATTTGCCCTTTTTTTCCAGTTTACTGTAGTGTTATAACCACACTAATCTCTAGAAACGAGTCGCAGTCGCATTAAATTCAACTGCTCCATCTCCCTGATCAGACTCTATGGAGAGGGTACGCCATGATGTCCATTGCGCATGCCCATTGCGCAGTGGAAGCCATGTTGGAGCTACATTGGATTCGGGCTGGGATTTTTTGACGCCGTATGTTTTTCTTAAAATATCTGTTTTCATACATTGTTGGGGTTCGTCAACCGTGCGCGATCGGCGCCGTAATCGGCAGTGGAAATGATGAACTCCAGTGTCGACCTGTCCCGGCGGAATCCGCAGGAGGATTTCGAGCTGATCCAGAGGATAGGAAGCGGCACATACGGAGATGTGTACAAGGTAAAACTGCAGTGAGGGAAGCAAATTACAGAGTTCCATTATCGGACAGACATTGGTTACACGTTCGTATTTTTCATGTTGTCATAACAGCAGAAAACCCACCATGTAGCCACCACTAGCTCCTTTTATGAAATGCGTATCTGTTTTCGTGCTAATGTTTACTGATGCAGCACTTAATCTGCTACTCATGCACCCAATTCCATTGTCGGACACACAGCCAAAGGCTGGTCTTCGCTTATGTCTTTTGGCTGTTTTTGTTTTGGCCTTTCTCCGCCACTTTATGGACATCCGGGTTAACGTTAAAGAAATGGCTTTTTTAGTCGTTACAATGCTCGGATGCCGAGAAAACATCAATGAGCTCAGCTACCGTCAACGCTGACCGTAAACCTCCGGTCGGAGCTCGGACGCTGAAATATCATTTAGACGAGCTCAGAAATCAAATTTACTTCGTACTTAAGTGTGAGTCGTTACAAAGACTTAAAATATGTGACCTGCTTGTTTACACACCGTAGACAGTGGTCTTAGTGTAAAATATTGCGGTGAGCAGCTACCGTGAATAAGAAAGGACGAATGATTGAGTTGTGTCCGATAATAGACGTTTAGCCGCTAGCTGTCCGAGAACAAACGCAGTCAACCCGATAGCATGTAGAAGCTAACCAGGCTTTTAGCTGTTTCGTGGGAACAATGTGACAAAATAACAACAAGTAGTTCTTTACTAGCTGCTCAGGAACACGAACTGAATCAGTGGCGAGCTAAGAGGTTCACCGTGAGCGGGAATATTACACAGCTTTCACTGAATCTGTTAAAACTGTCTCCGTTTCTCCGTGACAGAGACTGACAGCTGGAGGTCCGGTTGGGCTAAAGCGCTCAGGACTGAGCAAGCTACAACAACAACAACAACAACCATAATATCAGCAGCCCTTGTCCTTTTATTATTCACTTTTTAACACCAGTAAGAACTAGCCACTGTTATTGAGGAACTGGGGTGTTTATTTCTATGCAGACTGTGTGGTTTTCCGCGTTATAGCTGTTTATCTGTGCTCCTACTCTTCACCAAGGGCCTGTGCTGGGAGCAGACAGCCCGCATCCATAAGGAAAAGAAGTTCCTGAATTACAACCCAACTCCACCACAACACAACACCGTGTTTATTATTATGCTACACAGAGCAAGTGCAGTCATAATCATGTAACACAATGTGGTGGAATACAACGTAGAAACACAGACCAGGATGCCACATGTCATGCAGAATTTATGCCTTTTTCCCCCAGTAATGCTGCAGAACATAAAAATACCACCCTGTATAATGGGGTTACTGTAAAGAGCACAGACAGGAGTAAAGTCCCTCTAGAATACTGTATTCACACCATATATGAGATTACGAGTACCGTAAAGTTCAAGACAAGCACACTTATATAAAAAACAAGATCAGAGCTCTTACTGATGTCTCATTCTGGATGGTTTTGGAGACATTTTGATGTACCAGCCTCACCTTTTTTTTTTTTTATTTGCACATCAGCTCTTATGTCAGTTAAGTTCTACAAGTTTACCATCCACACTGTTTACCTCTAGTTGTTTGTGTTGCAGTCACTCTGTTGAGGAATTTAATTTCACCGCTGTGTGAGGGAGAGGCTTTTGCCAGACTGGAAATTAATTAAGCACTTTAATAGGACTAGATGATGTTTGGTTAACCTCTAGGCTCTTTGCGGTAATTACAGGAATATTAATGTATCCTAAAAAGAGACAAGAGACATTTCCAGTCTTTCTGGATGCATAGTTGCCATTAAGTACATCCACAAACCTATTGTCATCATTTCTTCCCTTTTTTGTGTGTTTTTCGTATTGTATCTGCAGCATAACTGCAGCTAATCTTGTTTCTAATTTAGGTTTGGTATCTTGCCTTGTTGCGGACACACAGAGCAGGTCCGACACGATCTCTTCAGCAGGTCAGAGCTAACTCGTCTGCTATAGACCTGTTACAGACTGTGTACAGCTGATTATTGTGCACTAATGTAGAAACAATTGTAAGGAGCAAAAACCCTTTCATCCATTTCACATAGTCACAGCAGGATCGTAAGAACTCTTCAATTTCGCTGACAGTGCATCTTTTCGCAGAGCTTATAGACAATACAGTTATTATGTAGCCGGCGCTCTAATTCATTGGAACTACAGGGATTTTGCTGAGAGACACTTGGGGGGGCTCAAACCTGGAACCTCTGGATTAAAGGATGTGCTTCTAAGCGGCAGGGCAACTTGGTAAACCTCATTGGTGCCTATATTTGGTTCTACCGCTGTGTGAAAATCTGTGGCTTGGATAGGAATGTTTGAGCAGGAAACAAAGTGTGAACTCAGCTAGCTTGTTTTCGCCTCTGTTTGTAGTCCTGCCTCTTCGTCTGTATCAGTTCGAGACTGAAGAAGGATTGGCTGATAGGGAGACAGGCCTCCTGACCACGAGATCACAGGTTCGATCCTGTTTGTACATAGTACATATATAAAGTAAAGTAAATTCTAACTATAAATTATGGCCAAGCATCAGGGAGAAGGAAACGCATCATTTGTCAAAGAAGAAGCCTAAAACAATTTTATTTTTTACAATCATGCATACCTAATGTAGATTATTATTTAAACAAAACTACATAATACATACTTGCATAACAAGACAGAAAGTTTCCCAAATAGGAAATAATCCTATATAAAATTCATTCAAATCACTTGTTTTTCACTATTTGGATTCACTGTACAGTTTGCATTATATTATGAAATATCCATAAAATATGTCTCTTAGTCGGGGGTCGTTAGTTTACTAAATGATAGAAAAGGGGTCCCTTAAGGAAAAAGGTTGGGAACCACTGATTTAGATCATTCAGTAGCACCAAAACACTTCATTTAAAGTCAGAGTAATGAAATTATTTTGTCTCTCCTGTAAGGCAGGGTGAGGCAAAGTTGACTTTTACAGACAAAAAGGATATACAGCATTTACATAGCTAATGTAAACCACAATTTTCAGTTTCTTATTGAGATAATACCGTCTGAGCAGTTTCACTTCTCATCGTACGGTAAATAACACCTGCTAAGCATGTTTACACGTTTTCTTTTCCTAAACACAAATCATTAGCTATGTGTCAATACTGGAAGAAAGCCACCCTACTCCCCTTGTATTGGAGGTGACAGCACTGAGTGATTTCCAATTTTTAAACTTGCATTAGGCTGCTTCTCACTTTTGTAGCTTGAAATGCCCGTGCAAGTCAAAACTTTGATTCATTTAAACTTCCACACCAGAATTCATGTAAGAAGGTGGTTGTAAACTGCATCTGACTGGTGTGTGACACTTTAAAAGTCCAGTTTGTAACATTTAGGAGGACCTATTGGCAGAAATGGAATATAATATACATAAATAGGTTTTCATTAGTGTATAATCACTGGAAAATAAGTTTTGTTGTGTTTTTGTTTGTTTGAGGGTGAAGCGAGGGGGTTACAATCTGCAACTGAACCACTAGATGTCACTAAATCCTACAAACTGGTTCTTTTAAACCAAAGGAAACAGTCTGATGTTCGTAAGGCCGGCTCGCTCACTGATGTTACAGATGCAGTTTGTATTGATTTGTCACTTTATGTGGGTGGAGTGGAGGAGCGACAATGCTTTTCTTCTGCCGTGCCACTTTGTTATTAAGACTGCTTCAAAAAGAGCTCCAATAAATGCCAGTATCAGCTTAATACGTTGCTCTATAGCCACAAGATCTTGCTCTGGGGGTACTGCTGTAGTAGCTGCCCTCACTCTCTGCCCCTCAGAAGGCCGCAGAAGTATTTACTAATAAACAGGATCTGATGTAACTTCTGTTGTTCAAATAGGATGACTCGCTCGTTTTCTCAAGGTGACAGTGCTTGTGCCTTCGGATTGAGGAAGTAGAGACAGATAACGGCCTTGGGTGGGGATAGAGCTCAGTTAATGACAAATCAATTTCAGTAGCAGTGTGTGCTCTAGAAACATCCCAACCGTCTGAGTATTTTTGGACTTTTACGTAAGGGGAAAGCAATGCTACCAGTCTTCCTGTATGCCTGTTCACTTTTTTGCCTTTTTTTTTTTTTTTTTTACCAGCACAGTCAGCCAAATACAAAGCTGACAATAATCAATATAAATGAAAATAACATGATAAAACAGTACATTTGGCCTTATTGTGGGCAGGATTTCCTCTTCGAATCCCCTAAAACCAAACTGTAATCATACCTATTCCAGATTCAAACAAAGATACTTGCCCAGTAGACTGGGTTTGACTTTAACTCCTTCATAAAAGTAACACAAGCGTGAGGGCCCTCATCGTGATTTAAGCCATATCATATGTCTGTGTCTGTGTCTTTATCACGCTCTTCTGATGTATTTAATATACGACTGATCTACTTAACAGTGATAAATGTGGCGACTTCCTCTGTCCGACCTCTGTGTGTGTGTGTGTGTGTGTGTGTGTGTGTGTGTGTGTGTGTGTGTGTGTGTGTGTGTGTGTGTGTGTGTGTGTGTGTGTGTGTGTGTGTGTGTGTGTGTGTGTGTGTGTGTGGGGTACAGCTGGGCAGCCGTGGTCCACAAGAATGCAGGAATCTTCACTTCCTCCGTATGTGTGTGTGTGTTCATGTCCTATTGTTTGACACTACTCCCGCAGCCACACATACAAACACACACACAAACTCACAAAACCAGATGATTGTATTGTCACATGCATAGGCACACATGCACAGATGGCTGTAGAGTCACAATTAAAGCTGCTGGCCCAGAACCATCCTGTTATTTTTTCACTGTTCCTCCAGTTGTTTTGCTCTCTGAGGTGGATATACAGACCTCAGCCCGCATTCACAACAGCCCTCGGTTCCTGAAATCCTCTTTGGCTTCAGATCCAGATCGGAAATTTTGTCCCCATCCTGGCACTCAGCTTTCTGTTCCCCAAGTACAGTTAATGTACTGTGCGGGAATTTGTCTCTGGGCCACTGGTGCAGTGACTTATTGATAATATGC